CTTCTATTTCAGATTTATTATTACTGGTCATTGCCGTTTTGGCAGTGGTGGGGTACGCTTTCGCCGAAATACACGAAATTCCCACAAAATGTCCAGAATCAGCAGGCAAAACCGTACAGCTCGCTCACAAACACGATTGTACCAAGTTTTACGAGTGTTCCAATGGACAGAAGCTACTCTCGAATTGCCCAGAATTTGCCCCGGGACAGAAGCTACATTTCGACCCTGAACTTCAAAATTGTACTTTCCCATGGGAGGCAAATTGCGCGTCAAGAGCTCCGGATTGTTCAAAGGACGAATTCATACAACCTCATCCCACCAACTGTAGCCTTTATTATAAATGCGAGAACGGGGAAAAAGTCTTAAAAACGTGTGGCGAAGAACAGCTGTTTTGTTCCGAGTCTCTAGAATGCGTAGACAAGGATGTCGCCAAGTGTAAAGTTTACGATTCGTGTCCAACAGGCAAATTGTTGGAGGCTGTACTTCTCCCGCATGATTGCTATCGTCAATCGCTGTATTACGAATGTGTCGATGGACAATACGATGTTAGACGGTGCCCATCGGGCCATGAATTCGACGCTGAACGTAGACAATGTGTGTCTAATGTCCACTGTCCTGTAACCGGTACTAAGAGAATTTCTCATGAGACGGATTGCGGTTTGTTTTACGAATGCGTGGATGGTGTTAAGGTAGAGAAAGTTTGCGAAGATGGATTGTCTTTCGACGAAACCAAGGGTATATGTACTTGGCCTCGGAGACACGAGTGTTCATCGAACTTCAATCAAACCGACCTTGCTACATACTTTCTACCTTATGTAGCGGAGGAAAAAGATGTTCTAGATTGTCCACCAGTGGGATACAGACTCCTACATCATGAATGCTCTTGCAGCAAGTATTACTATTGCGAAGATGGAAATAAGATTCTTGCCATATGTCCTAATGGCATGATATATGATAATAGTAGAGAAGTTTGTGACCTACCGGATGTCGCCATATGTTGGAACCAAAAATATATTCACGATAGTTATTTATATGACAATTGTTATAATTCACCTCAGTGTCCACCCACTGGCTATTATCGCTCTTCTGATAGAAAGTGCACTGAGAGTTATTACGAGTGCACGGAAGGTGTCAGATGCGATCGGTCGTGTGGCGAAGGATTAATTTTCAATAAGGACAAGGGACAGTGCGATATACCCGAGAACGTTGGCGGCTGCAACGGTGATCAACCTATAACCACGACTACGACTACGACAAGTACCACTACAACGTGGCGCCCGCCCTATTGCATTGAAGGAAACCAAATGCCTCACGAGTGTAACTGCTATGCATATTACGTATGTCGCAACGGAGAATACCAATGGATGAAATGTCCCTCAGGCGAAAAGTTTGATTGGGCGGAGAGGCAATGCATGTCACAAGACATTGCTGAATGTCGCCCCTCTGGAAACAACGGATGCCGAGGTAGTTGTTCGTCAAGTAGTGACCAGTTGCCCCACAGGGAGTGCAACAAGTTTTGTACATGCGATCATGGAACTGCCACAGTTCGAAATTGTCCCAAGCATACGTATTACGATCGGCACAGACAAATTTGCAACTGGCCAGAAGCCATACTTGTGGACTTGCCGGCACAGTGTGATCCTACCGACTGTAGTTTCGGTGACAATTATGTTCCTCATGATTGTTACTGTGACAGATATTATGATTGTTCAGGCAATGGGAAATTTCTTCAGGAGTGTAAAACTGGAGAATACTTTGACTATACAGAAGAAAAATGCGTTGACAGTAAATATGCTCACTGTTATGCAAAGATTTGATTAAGGATTGTCAAAAATATTGTAGATGTAGCGGTAGGAACGTGTATATCGAGCAATGTGCCAGCGTTCTGTACTACGATATCGGGAGAACGTGGCTCAAAACATAAATTTATCGTCGAACTGTCCGTCTCCAACTGATTGTAGCAGTAATATTGGTGTTGCACCCCGTTATTCTAAATGTACACTTTGTTATGAATGCGACGGAAGATCCAAATACTGCGAGGTATGCGATACTGGATTAAAGTTTGATTTTGTACTCGGAAGCTGTATGAGTAAAAATGCTCATTGTTGCAACTGCAATTTACCGGCAAACGAAACTTTGTGGTCGGATATACCATTTGTGAGCAATTTTCTTTAAAAGCTAGGAAATGAATCGTAGAATCAAAAAGAAACGAATTCGTCGAATAATAAAGATAAATGGTTTGTTGTAACACCTTCATCGAGTATCTTTGAATTCCAGAATATTACGATATTACATGGTTAAAACGCAATGCTGCTTTTATATATTGTCTAATTTATGTAATCTTTTAAGATGATTGTATTGAATTTGACTATACATTGGAAGTTAGCCGTAAGTAATAAAATTAATGATAAATGACATCTTTAATTAGCATTCATTCTTATACGTATACATAGCATGAAACGTTAACAATTTAATTATATTCGATTCATTGCCATGTATATTGTTACGATTTTAGTTTGTAAAATTGCGACTGATTAGCAAAAACATTACCATAAATGTGGTTGTTCCGTCGTGCGACATTCTATCCAGGCCAGGCCACACACCGCGGACAGGATGGCAACCAGATGTCCGCACGCCTTCACTGCGTACCTTCAATAGTCTTAAGAGCCGATCATAAATCTTAGAGGAATTTCTAAGGTCCTTCAGACCAAGCCAAACATCTGCACTAAGTCACTGTCTAAAGGTTATTGTTTACTACGGAAAGATAGGAGAAGTTCGTCTTTCTTATGTACGATGTTTTACCCTGGCAACTTTCTCTCGGGGCGGTTAACACCCTTCCTCCACTCTACCACACCAATCCAGAAAATTAACCTATTACCAGAGAAGTCCTTCCCTCACTCTCCCAACAAGAACTTCGTCTTAACAAATCAGCTTTTCTCGCGTCATTAGACCCACCCATCGCAAGTGTCCTCCGCTGCATCATCGTTACAGAAAGTCAGTCTTTATACGTTTTTTGAACCTTCAGCATCTAAGCGTGCGTCGCGTACAACACCTTGTTACTCTAGCTATCAATCGACTTAATTGTACATTTCTAGTTAAGAAGTTGTTGGAATAAACATTAGTTGTATTCGTTACTTCAGTGTAAAATCAATTCAACCACCCCTATTATCGCAACCGAAATCAGGAGATCGATCACTTCGTGGCGACGATTATCCAATGGTAACGGGAATTTACGACTCCTGTTGACGTACTTCTTCGCGATCGCGTCTCCCCGAGAGTGGTCGAAACAATGGTAGTTACATGTAAAGTAAATGTAAGTCAAAGATTCCATGTAAAATATAAAAGATCGCATTGTAAAACATTCGATGGAAATA